AGATGCAGAATTCTCTGTACCTGGATTTCAGATGTCTGTCCTGCCAAAATATAAGAAAAATATGCAATAAAATGAGAAAAATAATGTAGCATAAGGAGAGATGAGGAAGCTGGAGATAGGGCTAAATGGTGCATGAGGACTGAGAAAAATGAGTTGACAAGACAATGAAAGTAGAGATGTCAGAGATGAGATGTATGGCTTTTGTGGAAGATGTGAAAAAAAGGATGTAGCTCACAAAGTGACAAAATGCCACAGATGTACACTGTCTATAAAAAAAGCACATTTTACCCTCATTCTTCAAGAATTTAATGTTATTCTGTACCTTTGCAGCCCTCAGCCACAGGCTCTTTGTTTGACAGTGGTTTCAGTGAACTTGCTGGCTTCTGGAGATATCATTCAAGGCAATAAGAGATGTGTTGATCTTATCTCATGTCTAGCAAACACTATGACCATGCTTAACAATCCCCCTGAGAGCAGTAAGGAACTTATCCCTTCCTTCTAAGACAGGAAGGGATAGAGATCTGCAAGCAGAGCTCTGCCAATCATTGTCCTCAGCATGAGGCAAGAATAAAACATAAGTTAGCATGAGCCTTATCTAAATAGACCTGTAAAATTGTTTCCAGTAGTGTCTGCTTCTTCAAAGGCTGTGGGGACTTTGCTCCACATTGTCTGTGTTATGTCCCTTGTCTCTGGTGACAGATTCAACTCAATATGACTGTCACTGACAATGTATGTGCCATGCTCTTGCCCTACTCTGAGAATGGGCCTTGCAGCTTTATTCTTAATATTGCCATCACCAGCTAGTTTCAGTGTTTTTCCCTGCTGTTAGGATTGCTTGAGAAATGGAATCCTGATGTGCTGAGACGTCTGCCAGTCTGGGAAAAGATAACAAAGGCACTAATAGTTATCCAAACTTTTTTCATGGGTATTTTAATGCATCCTTATGGATATCTTATGGAACACAGACATAGATAGGTTTTTTTAGAATTTGCCATTGTAGCTTTCTCTCTGTTCAGCTGTCAGAATTAAGTCAGTATTTACATATATTAGATATATCTATGTAAAATACACTGTCAGTATTTAATTCCAGTGTAGTGAGGAGGTCCTCCCTTACAGCAGTCTCCTGTGAGGAGCTGCCATATATTTTATCCATAAATTGCAGTAAGGTCTTGCCACAGTTAATTGTGGTGTATGGCCTGACATATGATTTTATATGAAGCTGCCCTTAAGGCTGTGGGTCTCCAATACTGGTTGAGAATAGTTTAACAACCATGTGGGCAGAGGATGCGTGCAAAGAATCAGTTTTCTGTAGGCCACTGGGTCCTTTGATGGGCATTTGCTGCCCATGTCCAGTGATAGATGAATCCAGGTTAAACTAAGATATGCTCGGGCCTTCTGCAGAGTCTATGGGCTCAAATAAAAGTCTCAGTGCATGTGAAGGTGCCATGACAAGACCATGAAAAGGGATTCATTTGTTGAACCTCATGATTTAATGCTGTGTCTATCTAGGCTGTCACAAAGGGATCCCTGAGTAGAAGAGCAATAGGATTGGAAAACTGATGAACTTTGTATGACATTAATTCAGTGCTCTTCCACCTTTCCAGTTCCCACAACAATTCTGCAGAAATTCAAAATAGAAAACTTCATCTGTCATGAAGTGCAATTAAAGACTATTTTAGATCTTGTAATCCTAAAATGGGGTGTTCCTTGGTAAATTTGTTCCCAATAAAAACACAACGTGCCTAGCATGCCATCCCCAGTAGGAAGGGGACCAGAATAATAATCCAATTATGACTGGAAATGGTGATAATGAACGTCATAAAATCCTTTTCCTTCTTACATCAGTATTTACAAATCCAGAGAGTTTTGGCAGTGGAAGATCATTGCTTCTTGGGCTTGTTCTATGATTCTGTTCTCTGTCAGCTCACAAGTCTCACCAAAGTTCATAAAAGACTGAAGATAAAACTGAAATTTTCATAAGGATGTCCTGATTTTGATGTCACTTTCTTAATCTTGTTTTATCATTGCTTTCTTGTTTAATTTCTTTTTGCTATTATCAGCATATTGTACTCCTTCCATAGCTACCTTCCTCAATAATGGATCTACTTTTTTTCTTTTACAAGAGATAGCTCCATTCAATTCTTTACATCTGTTTTCCCATAATCATAGGTTTTACTCTAATATCCTCTACCTCTGTAATGCCTAACACATTTACATGTATTTAGACCTTAGAATATTTTGAATGTATGGTGGTGGACTCAGATTTTTTTAACACATGACCAAGTAGAATATAGCTGTTAGGACTCATTCCAACACTGTGGTTTTGCAGTGCCCACTAATAGAGTAAACATACAGATTTTGACTTCCTCACCCAGAGCTGTTTTCAGTTTGAGATTTCATTTCTCCAATTATACAATTTTATAAAGTCATTAGCATAGCTTCAGCTCTATTACTTTAAGGTAATTATTTTATTTATTTATGTAAAATAGGGAGCTTTATATCAGTATGACTGAGTCACTATCAGGGCTTTTGATGGCTATATGTAGTTTGAATACAAAATGTTATTTGTGGAATATGTTTGCTTATTACATCTAAGTGCCCTACAGGTAACATGTTTCATCATATGATCTATTTTTTACAACAACTTATCTGGTTTTATTTTTCTTTTCTTGGTTTTGTGACTGGGAATAGGGCTGCAGTTATGTGTGTTATTTCTTTTTGTAAGCATGACTCGCACCTTGTGCAGATGCTTCAATGTTTCTCTGTAAAGTTTCAGTTAAATTAAAGGAGGCTGTTCAAGGAGGAGGAAACAGCAAGCAAAACAATAATGGAGACAAGTAGGTCACCAGAATGACTCTTAGCTGGAAAGTGTTCTGGTAAGATCCTACCACAAAAGCACGGTTTGCTATCCTCAGTGCTGAAAGCCTAGGATCAGGGAATCATGTCTTTAAGGACAATGGTATCTAAAGCAAGAAGCATTGCCCTGATTTTTGCATGTTTTGCTGTAGAGATGCACCTGTGAAACAGAGAGATACAGAGATGCAACAACCAGCCAAGAAGTATGAATGAACCTGCATTGTTAATAGCTGATGTAAATTTAGGAAAGGGAATCTGCTTCCTTTGTCCACCTTCCTATGTAATATATTTCTTTCAACAATATTTCTTTTTCTTTTGCTTCTATTTTTTCTATTTTTGTTTTGATCTGTTTCTTGAGCTTCTGCTGTCCATCAGTCACAGGTCACTGAATATAAAAATCTTTCATGTTCCCAACCCATTTGTCAGGTTAAAATGTCTGTGAGGCAGGAGACTAAAAGATAATGCTCAGTGACAAGGATGCATGGGAGAACTGGTTCTAAAGAATGATGCTTTTAAAAGGGAGAAAAATCCCCAATTACAGCTATCTGGTCAGAATAACACTTATTATGTCAGGCTCTATGTTGTGGCCACTACAATGAAAAAGCTTTAAACCAAGATATTTTAGGAACTGTATTAGCAGTATTCATTAACACATACAGAATTTTCCTAATGCAATTGAAAAAAATACAACCCATATTCATGTTAAATACTTTCTATATTTTGGCTATTCCTAATCTAACTTCATTCCTTAGTACTAGTTTGTTTAAATGGTGCACAGATTTGAATGTTTATTTCCTACCTAATACAGGCTATTATTTGATATGAACACTCTTCAAAGGTGTTATTTTGTTTCTTTTCTGTATTCTTAGCCATATGTTTCCAAATATGTGATTCCAGAGCTTATTAAAAGCACAGCTTTTTCTCTGTCTTTAATCACATTATAGCTACTAATGTACATCTTGCATGTGGCTTCTCATTAAGAGAAACAGACAATGATAATACTAAAACAAAGGAAAGAATGAAGATCAGAGAAGATATTCTAAAGCTAAACTTCCATCTGCAGCACAAAATCACCTGCATTTCACACAAAAAAATGCAGTGGGAGTATATCTCCATTACCAGCTGCCTGCCTGACTGCCCTGCTGGCCTTCCTGACATGGGGACTTCTTTTGCTGATGCTGCCAGTGCCAGGGGCTTGCACTCCATGATACAACTAAGGACTAACTAAATTTTGCAATTCTGCCAAGTGGCCAAGTTAAGAGTAATTTGAAGCACACCAAAACTCCTTAGCTATACACAGAAAGACAGTGCTCTTCCAGCAAGACATCAAATTTGACCAGATTGTTTAGGCTGTGAAACACAATAAGTGCAACAACCATGACATTTGTAAAATCTGTTCTTATCACTGTACAGAACACAATTTTCATTGCCCGTTTTTGAAATTAAATATTGGTTGAACATGACTGCACTAATTAGAGACATAAACAACTTTTTATGTTGACTCTTGGTAGTCTTGCCTATGTTTTTCCTTCTCATTTTTCAGTACTCACAATTCTGCAAAGTATCAGCAGGCCTGGATGAATTTATACCTTGTCTTTATCACAAATGCACAGATTGAAGTCTTTATTTTTGATTAGGTTATTTTTCCTGTATAGACTGTGTGTTTGTTCTTTTTTTAAACCATGATCCCTACAAACAAGATTAAGATCAATAAAATTTAGCAAATAGTACAAAGGTGACTTGCTTAAATTAGTAAAACAACACAGATGATAGCTTAGTTTTCATAATTATCTATGTCCTACAGTGATCACTTTGCTTTTGTGATTAGAGACCCAAAAGTCAGTTAAGAAACACCAAACTTTGTCTGAGATTTTTAAGTTGCTTAGATAAGAGTTAAAATAATAATGACAAACATTTATAACATGATAAAAGGTATTATTAGCCAGAAGTAATATGTTTATTTGTGAAGAAACTACAGGGATCTACTATGTGTATCCACTAATTGAACAGAATAGGCTTATTTTATAAGAGGTATTTGGCATTATTTTTAAAAATCTGATCAGAGGTGAAAAAAGCACTTTGACCCCAACACCAAACATATCTGTAAATGTTGAAAACAAAATGTCACAATGTATTTTACTCACCCTCATCCTTCCATTTCTTACTGCTGGTCCATCTTCTGCTAACCTCAACACATACAAATCCATTTTGTACTCCCTTCCTCCTCGGATACTAAACCCAAATCCTTTGGCTCCTTTCTCCAAATCAACGGTGAAATAATCAAAGTCCTGTTCAATCAAATACAAAATGAAAGACAATTAACCATATGGGCATTGTGGTATGCATTCAAGAAAATGTTAAAATCGATCTCTTCAAATATTTATTGATCCACTTGATATAAGCAAAGGTCCATAGAGAGGTCTGGGAGGGAAACTGTGATGTAGCTTCTGATCCATTGTCAGCCAAGCGTGCAAGGTCCATGGGAGCAGGAGAAAATAAAGAGAAAGCTTGGGTTGTGCATTCTGTTGATTAGAGAATTAAACTGGAGGATGTAGGAAACAGCCAACCCAAGAATCTCTCTAGATGCTAAGAAGCATCTTATAAGGTATGCACATGGGGGTAGAGATTTGCTATTTAGATACTGAAAGCACAATATTTTCATAAGGTTCTCTGGATCCCATTTGGGAATTTCAGTATTTTTCTTGATATGGTTTATGTGTCTGGTTTTGAAAATATGGACATACAAACCACCATGGTTCCAGCATATAGTGTCCAGAAGTTTACAGTCTCCTATTTAATACTTTTTGACCTCTGTTTTTCCTGCCTTTATGTAAGGAGAAAGGAAGGTCTTTTTCAAAGTCTGAACTTTCAGCTAAATCCTCAACCTTCAAAACTGTCAGTAAATATCTGTCACCAGAGGAATCTTGTCCAAGGTACCATAACTCTTCATCTAACTCATCATCTCTTTGAATTTGTCATATCATGCTTGATGTCAAAGAAACTAGTTGCATGGGCTAGTTTCTACTCGTCCAAACTATTACCAACAGAAAATTAATTTTATCAGTCAGGATTTTCATTCCTTTATTTATTTATTCTGATTAGATAAAATCTTAATTTTCAAGAATGCTGTAGAAATGCAGTCTGACCTAAGAACACCTACGGTTTGATAAATATGTCCCAAGAATGAAAAAACTCTGCTGATGAAAAGGCTTTTTATGTTAGAATTTTTGTTTCAACTCTCCAGTACCTTAAAAATGGCATTCATTTATATTACAGCCACACAATTATAAATGTAATGTTAATTTAAAGATCACACAGTTATACATTAATATTAATGGCTTGGAAGTAATTTCCTCTACAGAGAAGCAGCAACTCAGAGTAACACCCTTTAATGTGTCTTCTCCTTCCACAGTGGCATCTTCCTTACCAACATCCATGACCTGTCCTACTGACCCTGCTGCCTTCTGTGTAGGAAGGAGCGCTCTGGGCGCGTCTGCCTGTACCTGGGGCTGCCTGTACTCGGACAGGGGGAACTGCCTGGTGTCGGGGGAGTGCTGCCTGTAGTCCATCAGCGGGGGCTGCCTGTAGTCCAGCGGCGGTGGCTGCTGGTAATCCATCACCGGCGGGTGCCGGTAGTCCAGCGGGGGCTGCCGGTAGTCCGTGGAGGATTGCCTGTAGTCTGTAAACGGGGGTTGCCGGATGTCAGGCTTCACGTCCTGCCTGGCTTTTACTTCTGACCTGTAACTGAGGAAGGCACAATGGCTCCGTTTCAGACAGTAGCAGACCATTAGGAATATGCACTGAGTGCGGCACTGAGGAGTGAAAGCCAGCTGCTTGGCTGCAAAATTGCACGGAATAAATGTTCACAGAGAAGCAAAACTCTCAAGGGTAAATAGTCAAGGCATCTGAAAACAGCGAGTGCTTTTGAAACATGGGCATAAGCAATTTTCCCTCAGGTCATACTATGCAATTTTCCAGCTTGTATCAGTGACATCAGGAGTAGACTCAAAGGGACAGGAACAGAAAAAGCATCTTGTTGATTCCCACTTTGCCTATAATGAAGATGAAACTGCATGTGAAAACACCCATTATACTCACTACAAAATAATTCACTGAGTTTCTAAAGTGGTTTTTTTCCTCACTTTTTTATTTCTATTTTTTTTTCCCCATCTTTTTATTTCTATAGAATAAGTGGAATATCAGTCCAGTGTATATCGCCTTTCAATGACATAAAATATTATTGTGAGCTACTTAAGATTAAAAAAGGATAAATTCTTTGTCTTAGCTGTTACCTTTTTAATGAAAGGTATTCTTTGATATAACATGTTAATATAGTGTGTATTATTTTTATTATACACTCCCTATGATGCTATCTGGCTAAAAGCCATGTCAGTAAATTCATGTCAGTAGTTATGCACAGAAATAACACAAGGTGAAAAGAAAGTAAATTTGGTTATGAGGAACTAATAACAAGTAAAATATTTCTTTAGCTGGTAAATGGTTACAGGGAATTAAGTCCTAAAATTTAAAAGAAAATGTGACTTTCTGAGATACAGTGCCTAGTTATTTACTTTATTCAGATGGGAATAGCACATGGAAATCAGCACATAATGGCACTTCAGGGTGAAGTAAAGAACATTCCTTATGGCAAACTTCCCTACCTCAACCATGTGGTGTGCTAAAGAGGCACAAAGAAAGTCCTGAACACTTTTAGGGAGATAATTCTGTAATAGTAGTTTAAGGTTATATTTTAACAAAAATGTTCACATAGTGGATATTCTTACACTCTTCCCTAGGTGCCAAAGGAAATATTTCTTTCCTGTACAGGAAATAGACATTTCAAATTCTGCTTTAATAATGGACTGGATGTTTTCAGTCAACCAAGTGACCATGACTGTTCATGGATACATACAGATACAGATATATATATAGGCTTTGAAAGTGATTTTGAAATGTACTTATTGATTACAAAAATTACACTCTGAAAAAATGACAGCATTGTTTTTGATTATGTTGATTTATATATAAAATGTAATCTGAATCTAAATGTTTAAAATTGTCTGAAATGTTTCAAAATTTCATTAATTTATTAATGTAGTTACAGTGAAATTATGGCTAATCATCCTATACAATAGCTTTAATAATCTGAATGTCTAACCAGACACAAAAAAAGTCAAAACTATTTCCCTTTGAATTTTCTGAGAAGATTAAAATAGACTGATGCCACAATTAGTAAGACCTGCATGCATACATGCAAGCCTCTTACTTTTTTAGTCAGTATCATGATCCTGTAAATAGAAGATAGAGGACAAACTTACTGTGAGGCTTACTGTGATACTGAGCCTTAATATTGGAGGTGAAAAAAACCACCTAGTTAATATTCCTAAGAGTTTTAAAATCTTATTTTGGTAAAGAAGCAATGTATGTGGCTATACAAACAAGCTGTAATCTAGTTTATGAAATCTAGTGAAAAATAATACTGTATGAACTAGCAAGAGTTGACCTTTTTCTGGAATAAGAGTCATCTTTAGGCAGGTTCCCAATATATGGCCACAGCTGCATATCAGAAGATGATGTTTTTATTCACAGATGGAGGTACTGTAATTTTTGCTGAATATGTAAATGGTGACATGAGCAACTAGAGCTTACACTTTTCAGTAAAATTATTACAGAATTTCTTTCTGGAGCTTTAATTAATAAAGTTTTCTGCTTCAATCTAAAAATTCCCAATTTAACAGATATTTAATACTGACTTTCAATAGCACAAAATTACTTTTGTGAAAACTTTGTATTGAATATTGTCAGCAACATATGTCTTCTAGGAGGTGATCACTTTTGGAGAAAGTAATCAATGAAATATAAGGCAAAGTAATTTTCCTAGTATGACTATTGAAAGAAAATAATTCTGGGCAAGTGAAAGTACTACATCTGTTAAGCAAGGAGAATTAAAGGATGTAGTGTCTGAATCACAAGTCAACTCAAGTATTTCCAGAAGAGAAAAGTTACAATCCTGTAGCTAGCATCATTTGGGGAAGAGGATCTTGATGATATGTGTTGTTTACTGAAGATTAGCATAAAGACAGTCAGTGTAATCAGCCTCGTTTAACACGCTAAAAAATAATACAAAGACTAAATAGTGTTGATTGGAGGTCACAGAAACTTGTATCATCCCACAGCCTGTGTGTGCTTTTTATATAAACAGCATTTAATACAGCTGGCCAGAAAATTTCTGTCCCCCAACCATTTGATTTCCATTATAGATAAATTTGCTAATGTATATACATAAATTACACATAAGAAATTGGCTGGTAAATGATACACCAGAGATTAAACACACCATAAAAAACAACTTCCTGACTCCAAACTAACATGCAAGGGGAAAAAAAAAAAAAAAAGACCATTGAGAAAATGCAAAACCTGTTCTCGTGTCCCTGTGGCTGGAGGGGCTGTGGAGGTGGCGGCTGGGCCACGGGGCTGTGCTGGGCCACGGGGCTCTGCTGCGCCAGGGGACTCTGCTGGGCCATGGGGCTGTGCTGCTGGGCCATGGGGCTCTGCTTCTCCGAGCCGGGGGCCGAGGCTGGGCTGTTCAGCTCTGCAGAATGGGGAGACAGAGGTTAAAGGCCTGTCACAGTGCAGCATTTAATAAAGGGCAAAGGTATGCAATAATAATTTTTGGTCGCACGCTACGTCTGCAAATTTATGCTTTGTCGCTTTTACTCTCTCAGGTTATAATTAGATTTTAAGACATTTGAACCTAATGGTCTCCTTTTGATAGTCTGTGGGATCTGAAATCTTGGTGACTTCTATAATTCTGGTTGACACTGTCATTATTTTAAACACAATTGAACAAGGGAAATTGCTTCCATGTTTCACGTATTCTTTTAAAACATAGAATTACTGATCATAGAATGATGGAATGATAGACTGTTAGAGTCACAGTGTAGCTTGGGTTGGAATAACACTCAAAGACTGTTTAGTCCAACTCCCCTGCAATGAACAGGGACATTTTTAACAAGACCAAGCTGCTCAGAGCCTTGCCCAACCTGGCCTTGAATTTTGACAGGAATGCCAGCATGGGGGATCTACCACCTCTCTGGGCAGCTTGTTCTAGTGTTTTGTTACCCTCATCATAAAAAAAGAAACATCTCTTTTTTATATCTGTCTGAATCTACTCTTTTTTAGTTCAAAGCTGTAAGATCACTTGTCCTGTCACAACAGGCCCTGCTAAAAAGTCTATGCCCATATTTCTTATAAGCCCCCCTTAAGTACTGGAAGGTCTGAATAAGGTCTCCTTGGAGCCTTGTCTTCTCCAGGCTGGACAACACCAATTCACTCAGCCTCTCCTCATAGGAGAGACACTCCTGCCCCCTGATCATCTTCATGACCCTCTTTTGTACTGCTTCCAACAGGTCCAGAGGACCCCCCAGGTGGATTCAGAACACCAGGCTGGGTCTCATGGGAGCGCAGTAGAGGGGCAGAATCACCTCCCTCAACCTGCTCATCCATTGAACGGTCCTCTCATCAAATTCATCTCTCTCCGGTTTAGAGAGAAGGATGCTGTGGGGGTACCATGTCAAAGGCTTTACAGAGGTCCAGATAGGTGAGATCTACAGCTCCTCCTTTGTCCATTGTTGTCCACTGATGTAGTTACTCTATTGTAGAAGGCCACTAGGTTAGTCAGGCTGGACTCATTCTTGGTAAAGCTGTGCTGGCTGTCCTGAACCACCTCCCTGTCCTTCATGTGCCTTAACACAGCTACAAGATATTTGAAATGCTTTCCATTTAGAAAAAAAAAAATAATAATTTTGAGAGAATGAACATTTTACTGCGTTCTCCATTGTTTGGATGACAGCCCTGTCACACAAACTAAAACACTGGTGTCCTTACATTAGTTCCTGCTGTCTTTGAGTTCATCAAGAGTTTCCTGTCTTTAAATTTCTGGGGACTGTGAACAGCAAACCCAATCTCAATAAATTCTGACTAACCATTTAAACTGAGGTTTTATTTCACTGTATTATGTCAAATGACCAAGATTCCACATAGGAACACTGCAGAAAAACAGAATCATTTTTTCCGAACAAAACAAAATTCAAAAAGACAGAGAGATTGGCATAGGAAATATGGTTTTGTTGCTTTGCTATAAATAAAAGATGCCAATCTTCATTCAGGCTTCCTGCTGGACTTGGGGGGGATACACATCTGGTACTGAGCTCATATCAAATATATTTCTTCCAACACACTAGCACAGTCCTGTTCACCATTTACCTGTTAGGATTCATAAATGAGAAAGACTCTGCCTAGAGGAGGACAGAGCACTGCAGAAGTTTGTGCATTATCAACAGCAAGGGCAAATATGTTTTTTCTATTCCTGCTTGCAACAGAAGGAGTGAGGCCAGTGTGGCATAGTGCAAAACAAACAAAATGGACACACATATGGCTGAGCATCCCTAACAGCAATAGGAGCACATGATACAGATCTTTTCTACATTTGGATTTTCACATTTGAATCTAGTTTTAATTTTTATGTGGTTTATTTTTAAACTTTAAACATGAGTTTTCCTCTATGGATGCATATTCTCTACTTATCTAATTTATGCTCACAATTATTATAAAATTTTGGCTACTTTGTTGAAAATATTTTCAATTTAGGATTAATTGTCAAAAAAAGCTTGTATATTTGCACTTAAAACACTTCTCATACTGGCATAAGCAATACTTGTCTGTGTAATTACTGTGCTTAAGGCGGCAATTGCCCATTTTGCATCTGTGAGTCTCTTTTGTATTGCAAGTTTTAGAGGAAGATTGGAAATGTTGTGCCTCATTTCTACATTCCTCTCATAACTATGGATGAACTGGTCAAACCATGAGCTGCTTCTAAAACTGCTTTGCATTTATATGGCATTTTTTACCTGAAAGTACATTACAGAGGTATTAGATTTTTTACCAATTTTTCTAAGCTGAGAAGCTAATATCAGAAGGCAAATGAGGTGTCCAGTGTCACACAGTCACACAGGGAAGCTGTGCCTTGGCACAGATAATTTCTCACCACTAGCATCTGAGAACTTCTTGTTGTACTGCAACTCAGCTGCACCTCTTCTATTTTTATAATTTAATGTATCCATCTCTAACACTAAACTATTAATGATGTTATTTAACCTGGATACCAGAGAGGATTAAACAAACTTCACGGACTGTATGAAGTATCACACTTGTTTTAGACGTTTCCAGTAAAACTGACCCCCAGTAATTACACGAGTGCTAATTGATATGAATTCTAAATTTGTGTATGTTTGTGTTTTTCCCTTCACTGAATTCATTTAACAAAGTAGATGAGTTCCCTCAGTTGCAGTCTGTGACCAGTGTCAGGCTATTTCCCTGTCCCCTTCTGGATGCAGCAGCATAAGGTGAAGGTCATCTAACTGGGCCATGGATCATTAAGTAATTTCATTACTTTCTGTGTGTCATTCCCAGCTCTACTGGTATTTGTTGCTGAGATATAAAGACATAGTCTCATTAATGTGGTACAATTCATGCAGCAGTGCAGCACATTGTCAAACTAAAAAAAATCAACCCCAAACCTCAAGGAACCAACTTCAAAAGATCTTCACTGATTAGATGTGGAGCAATGACCAGAATAATGAGTCTATCTCATTATTCTCACCCTAGAAATGAGATAATTCAGGGTTCAGTTATTTCCTGCCTTGTGCATTTACAGTGATGTATCACTATGTGATAGTGATGGAGGAAACTGCCAAATCTGAACTCTTCCTTCACATCACTTTTTGTCACATGTAGCTGGTAGCTGAATATGCCTGGTGACAGCCATTGCAGTCTCTTGTGAATCTCTTTGTCAAACTTTGGCTTGGCTTATAGCAAGATATAAGGGAACGAACTCAAAACTTGGCTCTCTTGTAGAGTGCTTTTCCATGTAGAAGACAATTCTTGCAAAAGACCTTAACGTCCTCTTTCTCTCTCTCTCGTCTTTCTCCAGGTTTGCTTTAAATACCCCTTTCATAACTTGAAACCTTTTCAGGAATTCAGATCCTATCTGAGCTACTTCTAAGCTCATAATTCTGGTGTGCTGCACGTTACAGCGGAGGAAGGAGAACAAAAGATGCTCTTTCAAGTGGTGACATAATTTAAGCTAATTGGAGGCTACTTAAAATTTTCTTCCTGTCTTTAAGGGCCATTGACTTACCCTCCTGAGGAATGATGCGAAGAGTTACACTGAGACCTGCATCTTTAATTAGCTTCACAATATCTGCATGAGGCATGTTAATAATAGACTGGCCATTCACAGCTAAGATCCGGTCTCCAACTTTAAGTTTTGCACAGCGATCCGCAGGGCTTCCATCAATTATCCGCCCTATTTTATGGGGTACAGCTAGACAAGAGACAATAGACACAGTTAACGTGCTGAAACAAGTGGTGATGTTCACAAATGAAAGCAATTGAGTTCATTTTAGAAGGAATCTCTATATGAATTAAAAAGCAGCTTGTGTAAAAGCATATAAGAATATAAATTCTTATGCAATGTAATTTGCAGTAACATAGTGCTGTGTTTTTTCACTAAAAATTAAGAATCCAGATGCATATATACACATGGCCTATACATATTAAGTCCAAAATAAGTTTATAATTCAGCTATTTTTCAAACCTGGCATGAAACAACCCAATAAGCAGATCAGGAAAACAATAAGGCATGAAAACAGGGAAAGGGTATACATTTATACAATAAGTATCAGTCATAAATTGTTTCCCACCTCCTAGTTTACAGAATTTCTTTATTTGTATGTTGCAATAGTGGAACCAAAAATCTTATTTATTTTATATACAGAAAATTGTTACTGAAAATGCCCAGGGCACATGACATCTTTCTTCTCCATTCAAATGTGTTTTTGATAAGTAGAAATAATACTGAAGATTTATTGGGATGCGCAGCTAATTAGGTATTAATGATAAATAAATAGAATTTAATTAGCTATGAGTACATAGACATGTACTACATCAAAACATCTCAGCCCTCTTCTCAAAACATTGCAGAATAAATCTTCTCCTCTTGCTCTTTTCTGAGGTTCTTCACCTCTCTGTTTACTTCATCCATGCTCTTGTTCTCTCTTCCCTCATTTTGCATTGAATTTTATAAATATTATTTTTTATTTTTTGACCAGTGTTTCTACTCTATTATCTTCTGTTTTTAAGCCAAATGTATATGTGATAGCTGAATATTTCCTCCAGTCTCCCCAAAGAACATGCTATTTTTTTTCTCTCAACTACTCATAAATATGCTTGTCACAATTAAATGACTATATAGTCTATTAATATCCTAATGATGTTAGAGTATTCCTCTGCAGTCCCATACTTCAGTCCTGAAAAACAGCACAAAGCTGCTCAGCCTCACTATCCAACTTTAAATCAGTGTTTAAAACCAGTGTGTTTGTTTTTTCAAAAATAATATAATCTTAACATTTAATTATCTACAGAGAACTTGGAAAAATGAAAGAAAAGATGGTTCAAGCACTTTTTGGGAAATATCTAAGCTATCAATGCTCATATAAACCAAAGCTCAAATAGGAGATATCTTCAGAATACATTGCTGCAGAGGAAATTTCTCAGCACCCTGATAGCATTTACTGAAGGTTTTGGTGACTTACACAGACTACATATCTGATATAAAGTCACAGTAGACATACCTCAAAGTTACTTTTGTTTCTAGTATGGATGTAAGTGGTGTTTACAGTCTTAAAAATTAATTTTTGGAACACTGAAATTATAAGTGAGTACTCTGAAGTGCAAACTGTAATCAAACTGCATGCTTCTTTACCACTATGGTTCAGGCATGAATATAAATTAAAACACAACTTTACTAATACAGACACAACTAACGTATTTTAGAAAGGCATTGTCACTTAGGAAATAAGCACCTAATTTATGTCACAATGTCTAAACATTTCTATCTTTTAAAATATACTAAATAAATATAGCACACTTTCTACAAAAAATTGTGTTTATTTTGCCCTTACTGCAGACATATAACTGCCATGCATGCATTTCAGTGAGCAAACAAATAAAAGAGTAACTTGACTCTTAAACATTTATGTTTACAAAGAGCTTTTTTCATCAAATCTGTTATTAAAGCATCACCAAGAATCACTCAAACTAATACTAAAATGTGTCTGTTGCTGGCATATGTAATAAAAGATCTGTCTGAAATTGTCATGTCTTTACTATATATTAGTGGAGATCTGAAAATGAGACTGTCTTATGTGAAAAAGTAAGAATTTTGGTAGTAAGAAAGACGGGGAAATATGGTAGAGATGGCACAATTAAAATTTCCATGCTTGCCATTTCTAAACCTGAAGATGTTTTTGCTAGCCTAAATATTGAAATAGAGACATCATTTCAGCAGTAAGGGGTGTGGGAGGGTGGGGGGTGGGAAGTCCTATTAATTAGGCAGAAAATTTTTTTGTTGGACTTCTTGTACCTGACAAGTGAATAGAGCAGATGTCTGCATGTTTGAGATGTCTGCTGAAATTGAAGCTGGAGGTGGGAGAGTCTAGTTCAGATCCAAATCCTGAGACAAGGGAAGGGAGGGAGAAAGAGGAGGAACTTGTTGTTCTTTTCTTTTCTTTTTCTCTTTAAGCCTAATGGTCCTCAGCTTCCTGATAAAGGTATCTACTCTAAATATTTTAGTATCCCTGAATTCCCTTCATTCTTTTGTGTTATGAAAAGAGTAGGGGACCAGAAAAAAACCTTGTATCTGTCAAGGTACCTTTTCTACTCCACTTTGCTATTTGAAGATTTAATGCTCCTCATCTCAGGTGGTATTGGTGCCATATGTTGCCATTTGATCTTGCTGCAAAGTAGGATGAAGGAAAATTTTGCAGAAGGACTCTGAATCTCTGTTGGATTCAAGGTTACATTGTTATGCTCTATGGGGTTTTATAGGCAAATCTAGGGACTTACTAGAGGAGCTCATGACCACAGCAGCAGAAACTGGTTCATACACATTTCTAGAAAATATGAAGAGATGTTTATCTCCTGGCTCCTTCCCTCCCAGTAATGTTATCCTGAGGAGTTTCTGTTCTTTGTTTGTCTTCCCAGTGGAACTTTGCCTGAGAGCCCTCCTAAGCCACAATATCCTGGCTGCCATGGTCCCAAAAGCTTCCTTGAGATGGGAGGATTTATTTAGGGCTTTTTTTTACAAGCATGAATTCTTCTAAGGGATGCAGATTATCTGATGTGTAGGTTGTTCACAAAAACCAACCATGTTAAAATATGTTAGAAAACTTTCAATTTTTAGAGACAGCCTTTGGTGGTGAAATACTTTGAAGGGATAAGAAGGAGCTACTTATAGGGGGTTCATTAGGTAAAAGCTAAGGAGCAAAGGTAGAAATTAACTGTGAATTTCCATAATGGAAATTTGTATTGTACAGAATGGTCACATCTAAAACAAGTATGGAAGATCTGTAAACTGTCAGTAGGGAGTGGGTTGACTGAAGTGGCAGACAGGATCTCATGAAAAGAAATGCAAGATGATGCAAGAAAGGAAAAAATAACCCTATCTAAGATTAAGCAGAGATGAGCCCTAAATTAATTATTATCACTCAAGAGACCTTGAAAGGTGTGCCTACTTCTCTAAAAACATAAACTAATTTAAACAGTCAATATGACATTAAGAGTTGTAAAAGTGAAGCAAACTATTGCTAGTTACTGCTATGCACCAAGAGTCTGAGTGTTACTGATTTTTTCAGTATCCTCATCTCAAAAATCACAGCAATGAACTCACAAAGATCCAGAGAAGGGAAGCATGGAAATCAGAAGCAGAAAACAGCCTCTGCTCAAACGAGTTGTCCATGAACTCACTGTCTGCACCTTGCAAAAGAGAATTTGGGGCAACCTTCTGGAGGGCAAAAGAATAAAAGGGTTCAAATAAGGATTAGATCAGTTAGTGGGGGTGGACACATTGCTGATTAAATCAGAATACCTTGGCTGTGAAAGATGACACAATGCCTGGGAAAGGTCTTGTCTGCTGTAGGTGCTGTCCTCTCTGCTGCTGGTCACAGCAAAGGGACAGCAAGGAGCTGTGTGGCTCTCTCCCCCAGCAGGAGAGACCAAGGCAGCTCTCTTCTTGGAAAGAAATCTCCCATGTCTGGCATTTAATTAGGGTTTTGTTAACTTACAATACATTTTTTTTTCTTAAATTGCATTGTCAGTGTCTTATTTTTATCTGAGCAGAGCATTTATTGATGTAACCTTTTAAAGGAAATCCCAAATACACCAGACTAGTGATAAATGTTTCCTATCCTTAAAAAATTTTACTAAACTATTTATGCCTCTTTTAACAATTCACCACAAGCTGTTCTCCAAACATATGTATATATTGAAGAGTGGCAACATGTGCCTGGATGAGACTTCACAGAGATTCTGATCCACTTATTTCAAAACACTGAGTTACCTGAGCAACATTTAATATTAGCTGCAGGCTATACTGAAAGACTTGGATTTGTGACTTTTTTTTTTTTTTTTTCAAGAGACCCATTGATTTTGCTAAAAGTGAATGTAAAAAACAAGCAGCCATTTTGCAGAACAATTCATTTCTTGCTTATCTCAGACTACACAATGAATGAGACTGCAAGGGAAAAATTACTGTAAACAAGGATTAGGGTTAGGGTTAGGTTCTGTATTAATATATATTTTTAGCAGTTGAAAATATGGAAAATTAGTAAGAATAAATTTATATGTATGCAAACCATACAGGACTTCAAAATAGATATAGAGGGTCTTTTCCTCCCGTACTATCAAGTCATGCAAAATGTGATACTCAGGAGTGATATAGTTGGATATCTACCTTAAGATAAAATAAATCCTTCCAAGACAGAAGGCATAATCCTAGACCCAAAATAATCTAGCAGAGAGTAGCAATGCTGCAGAAACCTTATCTAACAAAAGATCTTACAATGGAATGTAGCTTTTCTGCAGTATATTTTTCAAAATTTCATGACTCGGGGAAGATTTGAATCCTGAGAGCACCAAAGCTTCTATGACATTTGAAGTCATTCATCTTCCTCCTAAATCTCGCTCAGGTATTTACAGCATTACAACAGAAACTGACCCAGAGTTGGCATGTAGCAGCTGAGGCTTTCCCAGTTTGTACTTAATTGTGCAATGATCAGCTCTTAGCTCATTAAAGGGAAATTAAATTAAAAAAATAAAAGCATTTAGAAAGTGGATAAGGTCTCCTTTCAGAAACATACATTTTTCTCTATATTAATATTTTAATTTGATAAAAATCACCCACTTTTGCTCTCCAAGATTCAAATTAATATCCTTACCACATCTGCACGCCCTTATCACCAGAACAGAGAACAAATTTTGTGTCAT